GAAGAATTTAGTAAATCAAACGTCCTTATACATTTAATAGTACTGTTACTTAATGTTTGGATTGCCAAAATGACCTAAAATAAATAAAATTATTTACTTAAATAGTTTATTTTTTGTAGAAGATCATCCTGTATAAAGATTTGGTATTTGGATACGATTGTCAAGTTTGACACATTTTGATTGTAGAGCCGTATTAATAAAGCTTATTCGAGCTAATATTCTTTTTATTTCATTTTTTATAGTATGAAAATGGGTAATTTTACAGTGAACTGAAATAGTTCCAGTAAAATTTCTAAAATTGTTTAAGCGTACAAACCTTCATTTATGTCTCTCTCCAATCCATATGAGCCACTCTTAATTTGTTAACCAAACATAAAACTTTTGTTTGTTAAATATAATGCGACAATTTTATATAATTAAAATTAATAATTTTGCCATCATGTCTAGAATTTTAATAAAAATATACAAAGTTATTCCAAACCAACTTAAGTAGGTATGTCACATACATCTAAATTTATAAAAATTTTAATTTTATCTATGGCGAGTGCAAGAAATAAGGAGTTACAACTTCAATATCTAAGTTGTAAAGGTTTATACCTAATGTTGTCATCAATGTAAAATTAGCTCTAGGTCCATCAAATAATGATAAAGAGGTGACAATAACTTTATATTTATGCAATTTTATAAAAGCCTACAATACCACATTTGCTCTTTCATTGCCATCTAAACCAATTGAAAACTTTCAATTCCCTTATTCTAAATTAATATTTTTTGAAGTTTAAGATTGTATATTTCTAAATATAATAAGAATAATTAACAATTTTTTTATGACGTTCTTATAAATTATAAAAAGAAACAAATTCATAATTTTGTGTATAGATATTCACTACTGTTATAAAAATCTGCAAATTCTGGCAGATTTATAGAAGATATTGTATTATTTTTTATTGTAACTTTTCATTTTAAAACGATTAAATCATCTTTATAAAACCGGGAGGAGCAAATAGCGTTATTTGCGCTTATATTTTCTAATGGATTTCTTTTAATAGCTATGAACCAAGAAGCATACGCTTTTTCCTCAATCTAAAAAATTTATAACAATATCTACGTTAGATACATACATACAGTTTATTATTGTACTACGATATTTCGTTTTCTAGAAAATATTATAGTCTAAAAAATGTGATAAATAAAGAATACGGTTCGGGTAGAAAAGATGTCTTGTTAGAGGAATGTAATGTTTTCTGAATCCTCGTTGTTTATACAACCAAAACTAAAGCAGTTCTTTTCCATTTCATTAACTGTCTATAGTAAAAATTCCTAAAATTATTCAAAATGAACTAAAATAACACTTCTGTCGAAACACTATAGCAAAGAATACCTACCCAAGAAGCGAAACTAAATGGGCGATTCGTGGACAAAAAACTGCCAAGTTTTCTCGGTGTTTTAGAGGTGGTTTAACGTTAAATATAGCTGTCAATTTATGTAGAGCAACATTTGGTATATTATTATTAGCGTCTTGTGAAAATTGCAGCATAGTTAAGTAGTTGTATTTAACTAAGTAGTAATAAGAATGTAGATAATTTTAAAATTTGTATTACAAAAAAAAATACATTGCGTTATTCGTAAATTTTATTAAACGTTCTTGCATCTGGCTGTCAATGTTTTTTTTTTAATTTCTAAATCAGTATTACCAGATAATGATAATTTACGCCTACGTATTATGCATCGTTTAATTTCTTAGTCTTTTATTTAAATATGTTATTTTCTTGATTTTCAAACCATTCGAATTAAAACAGTAAATAAACAACAATACAAAACATTAATTAACACATATGACAAATAACTCACTTCGAGGAATCAAGTCGCTGCTATCAAGATGCAATCGAAATGCATTTAGAGCTACCTACAGTACTTTTGGATATGTAACGTGTAGAGGGTGGGTTATCCCACGGCACTTAGGCCTCACAAGGCCCATTGTATATCCTCCTAAAATGATAGGCACTTCCTAGCTCGTGAGACAGCCTACAGATTGAAAGTAGTTGACAACGTCGCCAAGAGGTGCTTCCCTCATATTGGCTGGTGTAAGCAATACTCGCCGAAAACAAATGTTCTAATAAATGAGAGCGACTGGCAATCGTAGAGGATATGTTCAATGGTCTCATCTTTTTGTTCGCACCACCTGTAGGGTGCGGATTCTGACAGCTCCATGAGATGGAGATGCCTCCGTACTTGGCAATGACCAATCAGAATGCCTGTAATCAGACGCAGATGTTGTCTAGTAATAGTCAAGTATTTGTTTGTTGTAGTGTTGTCAGGTTAAAAGCTCCCTGGTAACTCAGCAGTTTCTTGTTTCATCCCATCTTTCCATCAAGTTCACAAGGGAATATTCTTTAATTAGGTCTGTCACTACCAATGTTGTCAGTCCAATTGAAGGGTCAGGTCTGAAAAGGTTGGTTGGCCTCCTTCTTGGCTAGTGAATCAGCAAGAAGACTAATTTTCGATGTGACGTCACCTTCGATTCATCTTAAAGGTGATCACATTGTTGGATGGATACTCTTGCCAAATCTTCGTGACATTCTAGTACTAACCCTGGGTAAATTCGTAGTGATTATCTGCTATCTGTATAAAAAAGCATGTTTTTCTACCAGTGGTATTGTTTCTGGTAATTTCGTTTGCTGCCATGAGAACCTCCGTGAACTATATTAGCACTATTGCTCACAGCCCATTTTATGTTGAGGTTTAAGGAATTGGAGTAGATTCCTCATCCTGAGTATTGTTTTGTTTTAGAACCGTCGGTGTGAATATGAATCGTACCTGCCACATCCGGCTCTTCTATTTGTTCTGTTATAGCTTCATATGGCTTATGGAAGAGCAACCTCCTTGATGTAAATATCAAGGGGAGTGAGACTAAGAACGAATTACATGGCTCTGGTTGGTGTGGTTATCATGGCTCATGTTATGTTGAAACATGCTGTTATTTAAATTTGTTCTATTTTGCAGATGGATTTTAATTTATGGATTTTCGGTACCCAGACAACTGGACTGTATATTATCATATCATATTATCATAGGTTGAATTTTTATGTTGGTTATCACAAGCTGCCAAGGGAGCGTTTGCACTGGAACTTATATGATGATTTAGCAGTACCATGTATATCCAAAGCTATATGCCGAAATCGTTATTATGAAAACAAAAAAGTACCTGCATTTTGCCGACAATTCGAAACTTGATAAAAACCATAAAATGTTCAAAATAAGACCTCCAATAACGATGCTCAATAAAAACTTCCAACAGTGGAGAATTTTCCACCCTGATCTTTCTATAGGCAATGGTGAAGTACTTCGGACACCATTCCGCAAAGCAGTTCATTAGAAGAAAACCAGTGAGATTTAGTTATAAAGAATGAATGCTTTGCAGCTCAACTGGCTATTGTTACAATTTTGAAGTTTACTGCGGTGCAAAACCATCCAGCGTTTCAACTGAGAACCAAAGCAAGTCTACATTACCTCTTGGATCTAAAGTTGTATTAAAACTTTTAGAATGTGTTGAACAACCATCAGATCACGCCTTATTTTTTGACAACTATTTTACAAGCCATAGTTTATTGAAAATGCTACGAGAGAAAGGATTTAGAGCAACCGGTACAATTAGGGAGAATAGGACAAAAAAATTACCGTTGCCATCTAAAAACTATATGAACAAAAAAGGACGAGGACATTTTCGATATATGTTCGACACAACTAACTCTCTACTATTTGTCAAATGGAAAGATAATAATATCGTCACCATGGCAACGAATTACGACAAAATCGAACCACAAGCAAAAGTCAAACGTTGGTCTCCGGTGAAAAAAGAAAAAATAGATGTACCTCAGCCGCAGTTTTGTAAATATAACTCTTCAGTGGGAGGAGTAGACCTTCTCGATCAAAGCGTCAACAATAATTATAGGATTTCTTTCCATGGCAAAAAATGGTGGTGGGCAATTTTTACCCATACAGTAAATCTCGCTCTTGTAAATGCCTGGAGAATTTATATACTCAACAGTGCCAATAAAAACGTTGATCTGCTCTCATTCATTCGAAGTGTCACTTGTCATTATCTAAGCTGCTTTAGAGAGGCTACTTATTCTAAAGCAAGACCTTCTACTTCTGTTCCTCGCAGTATCGTACAAGATCAAGTTGGTCATTTCCCTGGGAAAAATGAAAAACAATTACGTTGCAAGCAATGCCATTTGAGAGCACGTTGGAGGTGTATAAAATGCAATGTCACGTTGTGTATTGAGAGACAATGCTTCATTCAATGTTACACTAACCGCTAGTGGCTATGTCTTTTTATATACTACTATGTATCCAAGTTAGATATAATAGTGTTTTTGCATCTGAGGTTGTAGTTTAATTTTTTCTTATTAGTTAAAAATGCAATTTTAGTAGATTTGAACTATTAGTAAACATAGCTACCAATTGTGCCCACTGTACTCATATGAGTACACCTATTTATTTCCTGCGGGATTTTCGAAATGTTCAAAAATAAAAAAATTTTGTGTTGTACAAATGCAATTCATTACAAAACTGTTGGTTTTGTCATTTTTTTCAAAAAAAAACTTCCAAGGGCACAAATGGGTTAATAGAGTATTTGATTGACTCCTTCAAAAAATCATTAATTTTTTTTTAATAATTGTTTAAACTTTTATTTTTATTATTCTCAAAGTTTCAATATTTATATTGGCGTTAGCATTAACAAATATCTACCATATCTTAGCTCTTTATCTTGTGTAGTTTTTAATTCATTTTGAACTAAAATTAAATGCAATTAAACGCTTGCCATAAGACCGACCTTTTGTCTTTCTCTGTTAAAAGGCCGATCGTATTGGTACCTTGTCTCAAATCTTGTTTTCAAAATTGTCAATAAGTCAATATAGAAACTATGCCTACCAGAAATCCCTCTCATAAACTCTAAAAAATATGTTAAAAATAATTGAATAGAAATAAAAGATAACTAGTTAGGTAGGTACATGATATATTTACTTAAAAAAAAAAACAATAAAAAATATTAATAATTTTTAAGGCCTTTAGTTATCAGTTGCCCACTTCCGATCACTGGAAAATTATCTTTCTCATCGCTTAATGTCGTTTGAACCTGATTGCTCTTTTTGTGTTCTAAGTTTCCCACCCAGGGTTCTGGATTTACGTACGTCACCAAATTTGATAAAAACAAACCTAAAGCAAATCAGAAAATTATACATATTCACTTCAATATTTACAGATTTTCAGTATTCAGTGTATTTATTTTTTATTGAAAAACGTGCCACATTTAAATTATACATAATTTTTTTTCTACGGTCACTATACGCGCCCCAAAGTTACTTTGGCGCTTGCTTATTTTCTTTAGAAAGGTAGTTATTATTAAAGCTTTTAAAACAAAATGTAAACTGATTAGTTGAACATCTAATATTCAAACCCCATTGATAATGATTGTCAAAAGTGACAGTATGGTTGTTCTTCATGTCGATTGTCTGATTAAAATACATATTTCAAAGAATAACTAACCGATCATATTAGGCATTCCGACGACCTGTCCAAATGGCTACCAGTGGGGATCTAACAGTTTAGATATGACAACCCTGTTGGCATGCTGTTATTAACAGGGTCAATGATACGTATACAGGGTGTTTCAGATTTAAAGGGACACAGCCTAATGGGAGGTAAAGTACACTTAGCTTAGTTCAAAACACCCCCATAATTAGCCTTTAATCTTACTCGTTTCTGAGATATAGAGCGTTTCATGATTTTTTGCCAAAACTAAAATCGGCTATCTTGGGTTGAATCAGATGGTAAAGTGGAATTTAAACAGAAACAGATGATTCTGGTTACTTTCGAAGGTAATATTTTACCTAATCAGGTAGCAGTTAATAGAGTATTTTTTGCCGTGGAACAATTTATAGGACGAGTTACTCAATGTTTCAAATGTTTAAAATTCGGACATATTTCTAAACAATGTAAAAGCTCGCGTACTATCTGTATTAACTGCGGTTCAGATAAATTTGAAAATCACAATTGTGAAGCAAAAGATAAGTTCTGCATTCACTGTGAAATTAGTGGACATGTATCCGTTGATAAAACTTGTCCATTTTATGAAAATCAAAAGAAAATAAAAAATATTATGATAAATCAGAAAACTTCGTTTAGAGAAGCTAAAGCCTATTGTGATTCATCTTTTGCAGGTCTCGCTACTAGAAACACCTTCTCTGTTCTAGAAAATAGAGATGAAAAATCCCCCCCCCCCCCTCCCAACATTTAAGCGGAATCCGCCAATATTATCACAACCAAGCACAAGTACCTTCTATTCTCATACTAACAGTTTTTTGTCCCAACCGAAGATTACACCTAATCGCAGTCTTGACGACAATAGAAAAAAAAAGAAAAGCTGGTTCACCTATTGCATTATCCCCTAATATCGCTCCCATTTTCCCATTTCAATTTGGACCTTCCAAACCACTTCCCGCAAACCCATACAAACCTCAATATAATGATATAGAGAAAGTCAAAGATAATTTATCTAAGTCTATAATAGAATATATTTTTACTACCTATCTGTAATAAAATTCAATCAATTGAAGATGTTAAATCACTTGATAATGATCTAATAAAAAGAGATATAAATTTGGTATTGGAGGGTACTTTTTCAAAGAAATAGTCTTCAATACTAAGTATTTAAATATTATGCAATGGAACGCTCGTTCCGCTGTTACAAATAAAAATTCTCTATTACAATACTTATATCATAATAATATCGATATAGCATTACTTAGCGAAACTTGGTTTAAGAAAAATACTGTGTACAAATTTAAAGGTTACAATATTATTCGTAATGACCGCGATGACGGATATGCAGGCGTTACAATCCTCATCAAAACCACCCTTTGCTTTATGAAATTAAATATAACTCAAAATTTCAATACTGATATCCTGATTTGTGGATGTACTGTTAAATTAAATAACAGTTCCGTACATTTCTTATCAGTCTACAGATATCCAATTACTAAAACTAAAACTGAGGACTGGATAAGAATTTTTTCTCAAGTAAGTTCACCATTCATAATAGGAGGTGATATGAATGCTCATAATGCTATATGGGGTTCGCATAAAAATGATACTTATGGTCAACAAGTATTTTCTGCAATAACTGATCTAGATTTAATTGTATTAAATAATGGACAACCTACTTGTTTAAATCGGCCTACTTTAAATGTTTCCATGATAGATATAACTCTCTGCTCTTCAGATATTGCAAATAAGCTCTCCTGGAGTATCACTTCAGATACGCTAGGTTCAAACCACTTCCCGATTTTGGTAAAATATGAAAATATACAAATTTTAAATAATTTAGTAACTCCCAAAAGTAAGTAATGTTGTTACATACATTATTATTATTTTTTTTAATAACTGTGCTTGGATATTAAGAAATTTTTTTTATAAATTCTACACCAAACAGTTTATGTGTGTTCAAGTCGCTGTACTTTTTGTACATAAAATAGATATAAATTTAATTTTTTTTTAAGTTCTCCATACACTTTTGTTTCTGGTACCTAGGTACTGCTTATTCATTACTAATTTTTACACTTACAGAAAGATGATTTTGAACCAGTTCATTCATTCCCCTCTCCACGTTCATCTTTAGGTAATTATATTTGAAAATTAAAATGAAATAAAACTTAAACGAACTAAAACTATGATAAAATCAAATTTAAAAGTTTAAAAAACTAGGTATTTTATAAATGAGCTGACAACTGTCAATATGCGCCAAATTACACCATCACTCATTCCGTCCTAAACATGACTAATTTAAAATTGTATAATACCAGTAGACTTGTATCAAATAATATCATTTATTTTCTGTACGGTATTTTGAGCTAAATTACTTGTGTTCATAAGTGTAAGTTTCTAATGGTATGAAAATAAGTATTTCAGGATGCCGTTTCTATTTAGTAATGAAGAATATGCAAACATTATTTTTGTTTACAGTTTTTGTAATAAAAAGAGTAGAGTAGCAGTGAGAGAGTATCACAGACGCTTTTCTAATCACCGTTTACCAAATTCTAAAACATTTTTACAGGTTTTCGAATTCAGTAAGCAACATGGAAAGTTTCCAACTACAGTTAAACATGAACATGCTTCGAGCAATAATCTTCGACAAGAAGAGGAGATACAGATAGCTCGAAATAGTCCTTCTATCAGTGAAAGGAGAATTAGTAATAAATTAGCAGTACCGATAACAAGAATATGGAAAACTTTAAAAAAAGAAAATTTGCATCCACATCATGTACAAAAAGTACAGCGACTTGAACACGGATACGACGTACCTCGCTTATCTTTTTGTAGACTTTGGCCCACAGAAGGACAATATCGAGAATTTTATTTTCTGATGAATCCCAATTTACACGTGATGGGATCAATAACACTAGGAATGGTCATATTTGGGCAACTGAAAATCCTCACACTGTATCACAAAAACATTCCCAATGTATGGTGTGGTAAATGTATAGTGTGCTATTTATAAAAATCATTTAATAGGCCCTCATGTTTTTGAAGGCAGATTAACAGCTGAAGTTTATTTAAATATCCTTAGAGACATCCTGCCACATTTGTTAGAAGGGATTAATACCAGAGGAATGTGGTTTCAACACGTTGGTGCTGGACCTCATTTTCAAATACTGGTCAGAGACCATTTAAATCATCGTTTCCCAAATAGATGGATAGATAGAGGCGGTCCCGTCAATTGGCTACCAAGATCTCCAGATATAACACCTCTGGATTATTTTTTATGGGGCTACCTTATATCAGAGGTGTACAACGAAGAAATGAATTAATTCAGAACCCTGCATAGTTATCACGGACATAACTCGTGTATTATCTGCCTTTGTTGGTCATGGTCTACTTTAGAAATACTTTTTTGTGGATCACATTAAGAATGGGACATAAAACAACTGAAGATTCGCTGATTAAAAATAAGATGATTTGAAACATGCTTGAGTAAAATCTTACTCGTTTCTAAAATACAGAAATTAATAATGCTGTTTATCACTCAGCATAATTTTATTAAATTCGGTAAACCGTGCGGAAGCAGAGTACTAGCCCAGACGCATATGAATTGGATCAAAACAAATAATAAACACAATTTTATTTTTCTGAATTAGAATTTATTTTACTATTATAAATTCAACGGATACGATTAAGCTTATTTGATACAATGTGGTTTTGACAATTAATCAATAATATATAAGACTTTTATCAACTACAATAATTATAAAATGAAAAAAAAAGGAAAATTAATGTCTGGCGCAAATTAATTGGACCAAATATTTAGTCAGCGTTACCACTGTGTGACGTCACTCTTACGTTTTATAATGGCTTCAATTCTCTGTGGCATAGTGCCTACTAATGTTTGACAGTAATCTGGTTGAAAGTTATTCCAAATTTCCTGAACTTTAACCTTTAATTCAGGAATTGTGCGAACTGGCGTAGTTCGAAATGCTTTTTTCATCTGATACCAAAGAGTCTCAATAGGAGATAGGTCAGGACTGCTTGAAGGCCAGTTTAAAACAGGAATATTAATTTCCTGAAACCATGATGTTATGGATTTCGCTGTATGGCAGGCTGCGCCATCTTGTTGAAATATAAATTCTCCATCTAGCAGTTGAATTTCATAAATGGAAGGCAACAATTCTTCTTGTAAAATACTTTTGTACTTTATAGCATTGACAGTGCCCTCAATGAAAAGGAGATGTCCACCTCCTTGTGAGGACATACAGCCCCTGACCATCACAGATGCCGGGAACTTAACCTTTCTTTTGAGGCAATCTTTGTGATATTCTTCTCCTGACATTCGGATAACTTTGCTTCGTGTATCGCCAACACAGACCTCAAACTTAGCTTCATCACTCCAGATAACTGAATCCCATTGACGTTGAACCCAGTTTCGGTGCTCTCTTGCCCATAACAATCGGTTTCTTTTTTGTTTCTCTGTGAGAAGTGGTTTTTCCTTTGCCTAAAGTGAGATGATAAATTTGAATATTTAAGATGAGATAAGTGTTTCTTGTAAAAACTTACCTTGTAGAATCCATATCCCATTTTTTCATTCTCCTCAAACAAGTGTCTTTTGAAATTGGTCTACCAATTGCATGGGCCCATTTTACAGCCAATTCTCGAGAAGAAGCTTGGCGATCTTGTTTAATAAGTGTCAGAAGAGCACGATCATCTCTTTCGGTAATCTTTGAAACACGGCCAGTTTTAACTTTTGTTTCGACATTTCCGGTTTTTTTAAAATTTTAAATTATATTTCTTACAGTTCCTTGAGGAATACTTAAATTTTGAGCAATTTTATGTCCAGAAAGTCCTTTCTTATGGGCCGCAACAATAGAATTTCTTAAATCGTCAGATAAACACTTTCCGCGAACCATTTTGACAAGTAACTAAATTGAATCACTCAACAAACGTTATAAATTATTTGTTCAACGCCCACTTGATAATATAATTTCCAGAAAAAATTATACAAGAGATTTTATTGGATAAATTTATCATTACGATTGGGTGATAGTCCAATTAATTTGCGCCAGACATTACTTTTCTTTTTTGTTTATTTTATAATTATTGTAGTCGATAAAAATATTATATATTGTTGAATAATTATCAAAACCACATGGTATCAAATAAGCTTAATCGTATCCGTTGAATTTATAATAGTAAAATAAATTCTAATTCAGAAAAATAAAATTGTGTTTATTATTTGTTTTGGTCCAATTCATGTGCGTCTGGGCTCGTACATATCAACAATAAAGATAGGCCTATTTTAATACACAGGGTGCTTCTAAATTCATGCGACAAAATTCAGGAGGTGATTGCTCGTATGAAAATAAGATGGGTCTTTCCTATAACAAAATTTCCTCAGCACACACCTTAAACGGTGGTGACTAAAATGGAGTTTTTATTTTTTTTCTAAAATTTCAGTTAAGCTAGAAACTTGAAATTTTGTAATTTTCGTGCACTCACAAAGGACTAACCACGGATATTTTTTCAATATTCTTATTACATTATAGGGAGGTGAAATTAGCAACCCTTACTTTATTTCATATCAAAACATTTTTTTGAGATGAAGTTTTATGAAATAAAATTATAACTTGAAATCTTTGTTTCATTGAAATTTTTTTTTTATTCTTAAATTTTTTTCCCAAAACCAATAGCTGCAGAGAAAAAAAAAATAAACACCATAATTTATAATAATTAAATAAATTGAGTGGAAAATGTAATACGATTCATAATAAATGCTGGAAATGACCACCTGTAGCCAAAGTACATTACTGAAATTTTAGAAAAAAAAATAAAAACTCTATTTTAGTCACCACCTTTTAAGGGTGATATCTCGGAAAGGGGTGGGCTTAGGAAATTTTGTTATAGGAAAGACCCATCTTAATTTCATACGAGCAATCACCTCCTGAATTTTGTCGCATGAATTAAGAAACACCCTGTATATGTCCTAATAAAATTACATTCCTGCACAGTTATTGGAAAAATTAATAATGTATGTAACAACATTAGAAATAAACCGGAAATAATTGACAAATCAGTGAGAAACCTGTTAAAACGTTAGCAGAGGTGTATTGACGTTCTCGGTGTTCATTTTGAAAATCTACTTTAGTTTTAATTATTTGTTTCTGTTAATTTGTTTTGTTACTTTATCAAATAAAGTGAGCCCGGTCCTGTGTAGATGTTCAATTTCTTATTGGAAAATGCAGTAGTTAAAAATAAATGAAGATGGTACCTAATTTGTGTAGAGTTTTAAAAATACAGAGTAAAATATTTAATTTCAATTTTGTAAATACTGATTTATAATATTGTAGTCGCCATTATAAAAATTTACTGTAAGAAAATGAAGATAGTGCCATTAAATATTATTACATTATTTTATTTATTGATCCACGTACTATTTAAATATGCAATAACATTTATTAAAATCCGATATACAGGGTGATAGTCTAGCTAAGAAGAGCAATATAAAAAAAGAGACTCCGGTCCTGGATTTTTTTTACAATTAAATTATGGCTTTGATTAACCTAAGAGAGTGTAACTTTTGTACAAAATTTTGTCAAAATATCTCTAGCCGTTCAAACAAAATGGCCTACGAGTGAGATTTAAGGCTAACTATGGGAGTGTTTTGAACTCAGCTAAGTGTACTCTACCTCCTATTAAGCTGTGTGTTTAAATCTGAAACACCCTGTATAGTTATATAGATTGCTATAAGCGGGTCGTTTGCGAGCGGCCACATTGCGTGGCAAGTATTCATTAGTTTGAATCGGTTTAGCAAAAATGTGTTTTAAAAGCAATTTTCAGCCTTTGAATATTAAAAAAAATATTTGCCTACATTTTTACTTCAAGGCATAGGCTTATGTTAATTTTTAAAACCATGGATGCTCAATCTATATAACTGTCTATATCACTGACCCTATTAATCTAGCAGGGTGCCTATTCTTGAATTCGGGAAGTGAGAAATATTAAGAGAAAATTCTCACTCTCTACTCCTTTGTAAAAATTCGTATTCTTGAAATCGAATTCACCAAAATTGGTGGATAATTTTCTCTCAAAACTTTCTCCTACTTTTAGGTGGAAAGAATAAAAATAATAAAAGAATTCAATTCACAAGCATGCGCAGTGCGTGTCAGAATTTAAATAAATAAAAATCCAAATATTTGCGGTATTTACTTTCCATTTAAAATGGATTTAGACGCAAAAATAATAAGAATAATTTTTATTCATTACAGATGAATTTTAGATAAAATGACAAAAATGGAGCAACAACTTGTTTAATTATAAAGGGTAGTAGTGTAAAACTATCCCCGTACACTATATAACACTTCCCTTTTCCAATAGTAATAACTCCTTTAAATCTTTTAAATTTGTTTGGACTTTGACTCATGTTTTTAAAATGGTTAATTATTTAGAAAAGTAATTACCTTCTAGAATCGTAGAGTTTAAAACACTAGAAGGATATTCAAACTTGAATTATTGCCAAGAGATTTAAATTTCTAGTTTGATAATTATTTAAAACGACAGTTAATATTATTTTTAATCAACAATAGCATTTTTAAATGTTTATACGTAAAAAAGTCAAAATTCCGTTGTCGACAAAAACAAATCATAAAAACTTAAAAGACCAGCAGTGTCATTAGCTGTCAAAAGTTCGTAGTTTATAATAGGTTCTTTCGTTCGCTGTTGGTGCAGTGTCCACCAGTGTAAATTACACCAGTTACACCACCTTATTTACCTTAGTTTACTTCCCTCCTTATTCCTTATACACATGATGAGTGTAATTCACTTCTGCTAAATAGCTGGTGGAGAAAATATCCACCAGTGGACACCACATCACCGACAGGAAGGTTTGGTGGATTTTACACCGGGCCGAACGAAAGGTTTAGTGTACGTTGGTGTAGTTCATTCCTGGGGACGAACGAAAGAACCTATTTAGTCAGATGACCTAAAACGATCTGGCAACTCTGTATTTATTTTCACCATCTACTTTCTCCTCCCTTGGCTTTCACGTTATGTCAAATAAAGTGAATATATTCCGCGGAGAGTTTCAGTTTCTCATGTTTTCAAGCATACGCACCCAGGCTGATAGTTTTGCTATTACATACTTTGATTTATATACGGTGCAAGAGAGAGGTCCGACACGCCCAACATAGGGCGCGGCCATTTTGATGCCTTTACCACAGTTTATAGCTAAAGAATCAGTTCGCTCACTCTGCGTCGGTACTTTTGATCTCAATGTTCCAGTTTATACACTGCGCAACTCGGATAATACAATATATGACAACCGCCTATAATAAAATAGCAGTCTTCTGCGCATCCTGAATTTGTATCCCTAGAATGGATGTTATTTTGGAACTTTCAACTGGTACGAGTGAGCTAACTAATTCTTTAGCAATAAACTGACTCCAAAAATAATATATACTGACACTGACAGCAGCAAGCAAAATATCAGGTGCGTTTTAATCATTCGCTTCTGCTTCCGGAATTATCGGTTTAGTCGTTTTAACCTGTCAGATTAAAACAAGAAAACCGACAATTCCGAAGCAGAAGTGGATGATTAAAACGCACCCATTATAAATATTGCGCCAAGATGTAGGCAACACGTAATAAGGGTTCAAAATGGCGGAGTTTTCTATCTCCTTTTAAAAGGCACTCATAAAGCTTCCCAGTGCGACCATTCTGCGTATAGTAAGAGAAAATCAAAGTATGTGGTTGCTATATTGTAACCTGTCATGTGCCTATCAGTGGCCTGTCATTTCAAACAGGCAGCCATTTTGTTTGGAATACCTAATAAACATGTTGGTGAAACGTCAAAATATTTAACCTCAGAATAAATTTTATTCATTGAATAATTTCTGTGATTTATTTACTGTTGGTGAAACCGGACAGTTGTCAGTTGAGTTTAGGTTATTGAATTAAAGCTAGGTACTTTTGTAATTTCCTTCGTGAAATTGGAAAATTGGTAAAATTATCTACACTTATAAGGCGTTGTCAACCAGAGCTGAGTAAAGCACTTTTGCAAAGTGCTACAATTAACAGACGCCAATCCTTTTTTCAAAGCGATTTAAAGTATCAATTACCAATCACAATATTTGAAAACTACAGCATCAAGAACCAAATACTTATGGAAAAATATTTGAAGCCCTTTAAGGGCTTCAAGTATCTACTCATTACAAAGTATTTGAAGCTCTTTTAAGGCTTCAAGTACGTATTTGAAAAATATCTTTAAAGTGAAGTGATTGTAACCTGTTAACACTTACTTGACAAACCTTGATTGGAAGGTACGGGTTTCTGTTTGTACTTAGAATTTTTTAACCATTCATCAAAAGCGCGCTGACTTTCTTCCAAACGTTTCTTCTTTTCTTCATATTCTTTCAATTCCTTTTTTTTACTTTGTAGTTTCTTTTCTAAAAAATTAAAGCTTGATAATTACTGCCTCTACAGGTTACATACTATTTATTTTTAAACCAGATAAAATGTGTTGAAAACAATTCTACATTATACTTGATTTTGATAAGCATCGTCGTGTTAGTTTTAATTTAGCTCTCTGATATAATATGTACATTTCTGTAGTTTATCAAACAGAATAAATGTATCTTTCATTTATATTGAATAGAAGGTTATGGGTCCAGAGCACCAGTAAGTTATTTATATAATTCCACAAAAAATAAAAAACTATATATTTGGTGTGAGGATAAGTATAAATTCCCCCTATTCGATGTAAATTTAGAATAGAATGTTGATATTAATTACAAAAGCATTGTAACTGTTAAATATGCTGATTCAGTAGCACAAAAGGTGACAAAAAAGAAGGAACTTATTGCTCACAAGAAAAAGAACAGAAATGAATATCTCTGATTATCCACTGACAACAACATTGAGATCATCAAAGACCAAAAAGAGCGTCTATGCTATTTGGAAAGTTTAAAACCCACTACCAAAAAGTTGCTAACAATGAAATATTTCGTTAGAACTTCATTTCCTAAAATTCGACAAGCTTGTTTGTGAATTGAAATGGTCTGAGACAAAATTAGAAGAAATAGATATGGTATGTCACGTTCTGTTAACCATGCCAACTGAATATGATGTTATAGTCAAAGCCCCGTAAACCTTGTCTTTAGAGAAACTAACACTTAAATTTGTTAAAACGCGACTTCTGGGTAAGGAAAAGAAGTGAAATTCATTTGTAAAGCAAGATAGTCCAGGTAGCTCTCGCAGCTTAGCACGTTCAAGTCATGTGGGACATCAGAATTCACAATCACGATCTACATAACAACGACCAGTATGTGATTTATGTCAAAAAGAGGAGCATAGAAGGTTGCAGTGTAGAAAACTAAAGCAAGTGAAGAAAAGAGGCAGAAGCAATTTGGTATAGCAAGCGATTATAGCCGAAAATGAATTCACTTTAATTGTTTCAACATCATCTTCTGAGAGTATTGCTCTCGGTATTCAAAATAAACAAGAAGTTTTTTGGTACCTTGATTTTGGAGCAACTCGGCACATGGTAAATTCTGCATGTAGGCATCTCAAAATTAACGAGGTACTTATTGTTCCAGATCTAATTTTTTTTAATCTATTGTGAGTTAGGGCGCTTTCTTCGCATGGTCTATCAGTAAAATTTAAAGAAGATAAAGTGACCATTTCTCGTGGACTAACAATAATTGTCGTTGCTCATAAAACAAATAAAATTTATTTGTTGGCTTGTTACTCAAATGCAAACTTAGCTTATGGAGAAAGTACAAAATCTGATGAAAATGTGACTGACATTTGGCATAAACGGATAGGACACACATAAGCAACGGTAGATTTAAGCAACTTTGTATAATGATAGATGGTATAAAACTGGACTACAAAGAACCATTAAAAAAGACTTGTGTATAAAAACTATCTCTTAGCATCTCAACATTAGTCTTGTAAAATTAAATAGATTCAATTCAAATTTAAACTTTTGTACCTATTATTTCTTTGGTTAGATTGTTAGGTTAAACTTTTGCACATATTTTTATATTTTCATATAAATAATATATATTTCTTATAATTTTTATTGATTGTATTTTGGGTAATTTTAGGTACTTACAAAAAATACAGGTTTATCTAGGGTTAAGTGGAAGAATATTTTTATTGTCTACTCGACAATAAAAATAAACTTCGCCCTTTATTTTCATTTACGCATTTTACGCCAAAGAATATAATTATTATAATTATTGTAATTTATAATTGTTTACTGTGTATTTGAAAATAATAAGGACGATTTATTATTATTATTATTATTATTATTATTATTATTATTATTATTATTATTATTATTATTATTATTATTATTATTAATGCCACTGAGTATCCTGGACCTTGCTGAAAAGAGTATTGAAATACATCAAAGGTACTGTAGACTACATATTATTCTTTCCTAAACCGTGTAATATAACTCCCAGAGCTTGTGCTGGTGCCGACTGGGTCAACGACGTCTCCATAAAATGTACCTGTGGATACTTGCTTTAGGTTTATGGTGCTTCTGTGAGCTGTGGTACGAGGAAACAAACCATAATAACACTCTTCTCTACTGAAGAGGTATAAGCAGCTCTAGCAACAGTTACAGCAGAATTCTCTGTTAGAGATCAAAGTTAAAAAAATTGATAAATTAGTAATTTTTAAAGATAATCTGGCCATAGAGTTATAGTTATCTAATATGCCAAGTAATCCGACGAGTAACTTTACTCAGAGGTGAAAAATTTGACCCTACATCAATTAAAATGTTAAAAATAATTTCACTTGTAAACATTGCTGAGACCAAGTTGGTCCTAATGACGTATAATTTTATATCCATTACCTAGTTAGTTCCACTAGATAATGTAGTCGGTCTAAACGTTGAATTACTATGCTATACTTTCATTTAGTTGGTGTTAAATAGTTCCTAGATTGTACCCGGTCACCTACATTGAAGAATTTATTAAGATCTATAAGTATTCTGTTGTTTTCCTTTTATTCATGACTTAGTAAATATAATATCCGTTATCATCGCATTAATAGGTAATTAAATTTTTAATTATTCTAGGATGGGTAATATAGTTTAGGTGTTCTTTTACCAGACGTAGCTTTCTTTTAACTATTTTAGGTTTGCTTTGGCATATATAAATTAAATTACAATCGCTTAGTTGTACCTAGGATCATGTCTAGGAATTGTACAATGGACGGGCCCGAGGTACATTTCTTTAAAAAATAAATAGAAACAAAAACATAATATAAATTTGCATTCTCTTGCAGTTTTTGAGAAGTCAGATATGCCACGTAGCAAAACAGGAGTTAAAAGAACACCAATAAATAAAGTTAATATAAATACTGCAGTAAACAGAGTTTTGAATAATGAATTATTATCTATCCGCGAAGCCTCACTCACTTACAGTTTGTCAAAAACTACTTTAATTATACATCTGAAACAGCATAAGGCAAGTGGACAAAATATAGAGTACAAATATGTATGTAGTAATAATACAAAACAAGTATTTTCTGTGGACGAAGAGACCTTAAAAATTAATAACAGCTGCAAGACTACATTAGGGATTATTAAAATTAGAAGTTTCCATCTACATGGAGTGAAAATAAGAAAACCGGTAAAGAGTGGCTTAGGAATTTTCTAAAACGCTACAGCAGGTACTTATCACTTCGAAAACAAGAGGCAAGCAGTTTGGCTTGGTCAACATCATTCAATAAAACCACTATGTCATCCTTTTTTGAAAAATGTTTTGTACCGAACCGAATTTCCGCCACATTGAATCTGGAACTGTTATGAATCTGGTTTTACAACTGTATATGTACCACCAAAAATAATTAAACCCAAGGAAATAAAGCTACTTGGACATCAGATGACCACTAGAGAGCGAGGCCAAAACATAACGTTGATTTCAGCAATAAGTGCATCTGAAAATTACAACGATGGGTTTCCTCAGGAGTAAATTTTAAAGAACATATGCTTAGGGGTGCTCCAGTAGCAGGGCCGGCCCTAAACATTTTGGCGCTCCGGGTAAAACCTTAATTTTGCGCCCCCCACCGTTTTTTTTAAGTAAATCTTATGCGACCATATCAGAAAGTCAAGAAAACATAAAAAAAATAAAAAAAACGTTTTATTAAAAACTCAATCGTTAGATAAGATAAGCAATTTAGCACTTAAAGCAAAATAACAAAAATTAAAATGTAGTACTGCTAACTAAACTAATTTCCCATATTATAAATACATTCTAAGTAACCAAAGTAATTAAAATGCCCTTTTTCTAACTTTTCTTTTGGCAAACTCACGAACCAGTGATTTTAAGTCTAATTTGTCACTAATTTGGTGTTCTATAGCTATCATTGCCAATCCATTGAGACGATTTTGCGTCTGCGTCGTTCTGAGATAATTTTGTATTATTTTTAGTTTTGAAAAGCTTATTTCCCCTGAAGCCACAGTGACTGGCAATGTAAGTAGGATTCTTAATCCTATGCTGAGGTTTAGTGCGAATTTAAGTGTAGCGATAAAATTGAGAACTTTAACAGGGGTTTCCTTTTTTGTTAATAATGACGAAACAATGCTTATTTCATCAGCTAGTTCCAGGGCGTTAAGATCGCTTGAATTTCCATCAGTTAAAACTACTTCCAAATCTTTGCAATGAGCCAGTAGCTGGGCTGGGCATGTCTTTTAAAAGACTGATGCATTCACGTAAATGGGTATTATGTCTCAATTAACGATGTTACTAGTCCTTCAGTAATTGTGCCAATCGCCAGGCTCCAATCTTAGCTCTTTCAGTAAATTTGTATGTGACAGTGTACTGCGTTTAAGTAGCCAGTCTTTAGTCCATTTCCTTCGAGATTTTCTTTTGTCTCGATTTTTTCCGCTGCCAAAACCGCTGCCACTGCTAACAAGCACGTACGGTCCATCGTGATAAACTGACGAGAAAAAACTGTTGTGTGTGGACATATCAGTCAACGTTCTTCCTTCCAACGTTTTTAACCGTCGGGTAAAAACAACGGAGAAGAACGAGGTGAGTGGGGCCCTTTAGAAAATATTTTTTATTTAATAAGACACAACTTATAAAAAAAAAGTATTAAAGTGAGATAACACATAAAAAGACAACGATAAATTGCTAAACAAAAATGGACCCATATATTCGAGACGTAAATTATGAATCTTATGATACCGTAGAATTTAAAAGAGAAGATAAAATAAATAATTATTATAAAAATGTTAATACTTGTACGTTTAAATTATTCTATCAGAATATATGTAGCATTAACAAGAACTTAGATGAGTTGAAAATATTTCTATTACAGTCAAATTATGATTTCGATTTTATTGTTTTATCGGAAATATACTAGATTTAAATACATTTCAGCTAACAGATTACAATATAATATATAATGAGGGAGATATAAATCG